GGGGCGGGGGTGGGCCGCGCCGAGCGCGGTGACAGCCGTGGGGGCAGCGCAGGGGTGGCGTGTGAAATCCTCACCGAGCCTGGGAGGGACCGTCTTGGGAATTCACAAGTTATAGCCCAACCGGAGCCGGTGGGAAGGCGGGGAGGAGGGAGAAAGGGCTGCAGTTTACAGATGTCATAACAACATGGGCCTGAAGCGGCTGACAGGGGTGTGGTAATTACAGGCATGACAGAACTTCGTGTGTGCGTTGCGTGTGCGAAGCGAGGGAAATTGCAAACTGTTGGATTGCGCTCAAAATAGCAGGATGACCTGAAAGTCTAAGTGAGGAAACGTTTTAGCCTCGAAGTCCTAAGTGCACCTCTTCTCAATGAAAAATCTCAAAGGAGCTGATTTTTAACGTTTGAACGTGGAGTAAACTATTGTGAATTATTTTTCTAAAAATAGTGCTGAGAGTCTTTTTAAAAGTTTCTTCAGAGTCTCCGTTTCTTAGCAGTAGATGGTATATGTGATTCCCATCTCTTGTTACTCAAAGCTTATTTTTGACATTGCTTTCTCTTTAACATTTTTTTTTAAACGATAATTTGGAAATAATCTCCACGTTGTTTCCCCTTCCCAATTTAAAGATGAAAACTGCTGGATTTTCACTGAACTAATTTCGTTTTGGAAGGTTCTATCTTATGTAAAATAAGTGCTTATAGTGTGGAAGGCATGAGAATAATGGACATTTATTGAGCTGTTTGAGATACATACATATATTAAACAGGTTTATATGTTGATACTAACATAAATTAAATACATATATTAAATTCAAGTTGATTTGGTTAAAGTTGATTTCTTTTTAAATAATGATGAGGTTTTTCCTGTCCCGTGGACAAAAACATTGAAGGTCAGAGAGGTTAAGTAGTTTACTTAAGGTCATCCAGGTCTTGATTGGAACCAGCCTTACAACCCAAAGTCGTTTCTATTTTAAGAATTCTTTTTTCTCTGTTTTAGTACTTCTTGATTTATTTCATTTCATTTAGTCAGCTACTATTTATGAAGCAGCTATGTGTCGGAAGGTGGGAATATAGTCATGTTCCAGACACTGCTCTGGTTCTCAAACTCCATGAACACCAGAGCAGTATCTTGAGCATGACTGTATTAGTTTCAACAATGACTAACAAAATGAATATAAAATAGTTACTGTATAACATTTTCATCAGTCATTATAACTTTCAGGAACCGTCTAGCACCCTACTAAATAAATGGCAAAGGAAAGTCAAATAAAAGAAGCAAGCACCATAATCCTTAAGAAGTTGACACTCTAATAGATAATTTAAACATGTTTATAAAAATTTAGGATCAGCCAAATGACAGAGTTCTCCCCTAAAATTCGTGTACTTTATAATGTTACTTTACCTTTTCATAGGATTTTTTTCATAAACTGATTTGATATTTTGCACCTTGATTATATGTAGGATAATCTGGAAAGGACCTGGAAACATCTGCATTGCTCCCAGAGACAGATACACTTTCTTATTCAGTGATTTCTATAGAGAGAGATTTAAAAAAAAAAAAATAAATTTATAAGTGCAGCAATGAATGAATGGAAATCCAAAATCTCTGTAAATGTTCATTAAAATTATTAAAAAAAAACACACAAAAACAATTCTTTTATACTGGCTTACTTAAAAGAGCTCATATACATTGTGTTTCACGCTGGAACTTTCCCATTTCCTTTACCCACCCTTCCATCTACCCATCAAATTGTGCGACCTCCCTGCCCATTCTCACCTCTCTGCTTCTACTCTCCCCCCCTTGGATTCTCAGACAATTTTACTAGTTACTTTTCTGTTAATACAATAATGGTCTTATACAGTATTTGACCTTATCGAACTGAGTTAGTTTACTTAGCATTATGCTCCCCCAGTTAAGTAGGAATTTTCAAAATCACTGCTCCTCTGAAGTGGACTTAAAAGAGAAAAGTGAATTCAGGGGAGGGGTAGGTAGGCAGGGAAGAAAATGTGCAACAATGACTGAATGGAGGAAAAAAAAAAAACCTGGTGCTCCTGCATGCTGCATAATATTCCATTGTGTGAATGTACCATAATTTCTCGATCAAAAGTGAGTTTATGTCTAGGTCTTTTTCTTTGTCATTTAATTTTTAATCTTTTAAATAGCTACTTCTTATTACATCATGAGTGTTTTAAAGCCATTATGTCTCTCTTGACACTTTGACTGGTTGGGAGATTAAAAATTGAGTTGTGTTCAGTTTTTATAATTTTCCTTAGCCTCAACTATGTTGTAAGCTTTTATGCCACATATCCTGTAATTGTGCTTAATTATTTCCTGAACTGTTTGCTTTCTCTTTTCCCTTCCTTATTATATTGTTTGATTTTTCATTTGAAGACTGTGGTTATCTTTCATCTCTAATTTTTACCTTTCTAAGAAACTAATGATTAAATAACTTCTTGATGATTTTTATAATATATGTCTCTTTATTATGATATATGTCACATTGTTTTTAGATATATACATCGCAGGCAACTCAGTGGCACATAAAAACAGTAGCATACTATGACATGTTTGGAAGCAGGAGTTGCATCCACTTCCTAAATAACATGCCTCCGGAAACTCTATGAACTTTGATAAATGTCAGTAGTTGTAGAGGGGCTTTTCAGGCCTTTTGTTCATAGGGTCGTTTTGAGTCATACTTGAAGGTAATTAACAACAATATATGTGAATATTGTGTATAAAATGACTTGACACTTTTGATTGGTTATGCTAGTAAAGATGACCTAGAGATAAAGGTAATCCTTTTTTAGTGCCATTGTTTTGTTTTAAGTTCTCTACATAGGATATTGTGAATTCAACCATAATAAAGGAAGAAAACATTGGAAATGATCAACAGTTCATTTAGCTGATTGGAGCTGATTTCACTCTTCTCTTGCTGCAGTAAGCAGAAGATGTCCCCAGAGCAAGAGGGTACAAATTGGGCCTACTTTAGAATATTTTGAAGTCAGACAGTGAAAGAGTGGAAATAAAGACTGATGGAAAGTAAAAGGATTGTTGGTTTTTTTTTTGTTGTTGTTGTTCAGATGTTACAACACTACAGAACAGACCTAAATGAAAATATTTGTCTGACCTACTGTTGTAGACTAGTTGAGACAGTTCTTGAGAGCAAGCATTACTCTAGAATGTGGATAAAGGGGATAATCTCCCTCATATAACAAGAATAATGCTGCCCTTCATATACAATCAGACTGCTTAATCATCACGATTGATTTTCTGGTGTGAGGAGGGATATGTGCTGAGTTGTCTGTGAGTCTCTTTACTCTGTGACCAAACGTGGCAAGTTGGGGTCAGAAAAGGGATTTGTAACTAGGGAACAGATAGACAGGCAGAAGTTACCAGTGTCATTTGAACATCTACTTTGGGTCAAAGCTGTGAATGTTCGACTCCATTGCAGTGGGATGGATTGAGCACTGCATCAGTTCTTTTATTTAATTATACTTGCAGATTTCTTCAAGGATATAAATAAAGAGGTAGACTGGTTAGGTAATTTGCAGAGATTCAAACAGGACTATTTGTACTGTGCTTACATCAGACATTATAATTTGGTTTTATTAGCAATTAAATCTCTACAACAGAAAAACCAGATGTAATTTTGTTGCTGTTGTGTTGGATCCAACTGGCACAGGAGGAGTTTGACCCTCCTTCTCAAGAGGAGCATCTGTGGCTTCAAACCATGTACCTTAGGGATTGCAGCTCAGCTTCTTGCCACTAGGCCACCAGAGTTCTCCCAGATGTAATTTAAATATGAAATGTTATGTGAACCAATTTGCTAAAAACTAATGTTAGAGATTTTTGTTTTAACCACTAAACACTATTTTGAATTAGAATTATATCTGAGAAATAGCTATCCTCAGTCTCAGTCCTCGTGAAGATTGCTGTTTTGTTTACTTTTACACTCATAAATTACTTGTTTCTGTTGGTATTTCTTGATATGTCAATTTCAGATCCTGTCAGTTCACTTTTCTCTAGATAAGATGCTCAGTGTGTTCTGTGGGTTTTTTTAATTGTAATTTTAACAGAATTTTACAGAAAAGTTGGATTTTCTTTCATTTACTGTTGTAAGTTTTCCTCCCTACCTCCTGTCATAGTGTGCTAAAGGTGAACTCCCCACCTTATCAACCACATACTCACTCTGCTTCTGTCATCCTCCCAAAATGGTTATCACAGGTTTTAAAATTAAGTCAATATTCGATGTTTACCGTAACTAAATATTAGTAGTAGTTTTTCCTCCTCCCCATCCTATAACTGCTATCCTTAAATCAATCTTCTGTCCTTTTACTACAGCAATCAGGATTGGTTACTTTTTTAGGTCTTTTGCACAGCTATTTTACTTGGACTTTGTCATACTTCAGATTCTCCTTGCATGGAACCCTTGTTTCTGGTCCCTCTTTCTTGGTTTAATCATTTCACTGTGTCTTCCAGTAGCTTTCTGAGAAAGGAAATACGAGTAAAGACTTTATTAGACCATCATAATTTATCAGTATAACAGGATGTAAGAGTCGAAGCTAAAAAAATCAAAGTTTTGAAGTTACAGCTTTATTGTTTTCTAGCTTATGTTGCTG